TAGTTCCCAGAGTTGTCTGGATGAGTCCTTGACTAATCACACTGATTTTGCTTATTGGGTATAGCCGAATAGTGTTCAACATGAAGATAAAACAATACATTTACCCAAATGTTGCACTTCTGTGCACTCTTACCCAGCTGTGACTTGGGAGGAAATGTCTTATCTGTTATACCAGTACACCACTGTTGTGGATAACTACAGTGATGTAAAATCTCACCTGTTTTCATCAGCCCCAGAAAAATAACCATGCTCCATCCTCCTTACCTTAAGGGGCTGTATGGAAAATGAGCTATTCCTTTGGCATAAAGGAATTTCTGCTTTACAGAAAAGCAGCTTGTTTATGCCATCAAAATAGATTAAAAGGGCTGTTGAACATTGACGGAAGGCAAAAAGTATGAAAAAAAGATTACTGTATTGAAAAATAGAAACTTAAAGGTCCTTATGTGCTGATACCTGCTTTATTTCTTTCTTTGATATAAAGATAACTCTAACTAAGAGTAGCACATACTTTTTCCACGTTGGTGTGCTTTCTGCATTCAGTATCCATTGTCTTGAGCTGTATACAGCTAACATTGTTTTCTGTGTATGCTTGCTTTCTACTTTAAGAATAATTAATCCAAAATTTAATTAAAAAAATCACTTTCCCAAACATAGTATTTCTTCATATTCTCATTTGCTGTATTTAGACTAATTTGTCTTGACATTGCAGCTGTGCTGTTCTTTGTGTTGCACAATCTTTTGAGTGTTGTTTCATTAAGAATGGAACTAAAGAATTTGGGGAAGGGGAGGGAAGAAGTGCTAGACTGTTAGAAGTTAATTTGCCGTAAACCAAAATGTTGAGAACAGATTACGAAAGCTATGAAGTGACATGTAAATGCTTGTTCAGTTTCACACTTGTGAGAAATAAGTCATTAAAGCTGTGTGCACATGAAATAGATGTTTGGTTACAGCTACTGGGAATAGCTTGTTCTTACTGGTATATTCAGAAGCATAGAGGAAAATGTTTAGAAGATAAGGAATTGATCTCTAGGCTCCAAAACTAGCTTGAAAAACTATCTCTGATCTCTATTCAGAACGGTTTCATTTGTTCTCTCTAGTCTACCTAGTTGCTGTATTTAAACAGTACTGCAGGTTAGAAAACTCATGTTTGCACTATGCTTTTGGGGTTTGTAATTTTCTCTAAAAAAAAAAAAAAATTAAAAAAGGAAAGAAAAAGGTAATTCTGCATGAAGAGAATGCTTAACTTAAATTTCTTGATGTTGAACACTGGATAATTCCAACTCCTCACCCTGATGTATCACAACACAATTCCTTTCATCCACTGTATTTTATTTACTGGTTTCTCCTCAGTGTTGAAAAGTGTGTTATGTTTGTCATTAATAAGAAACTCAGCTCTGACTTTAGCTACTTAAATGTTTTGGTTAAATGTCTTCCTTTGCAGCTGTCAGAGGTAAAACTGAAACCTAAAGGATCAAATCAGAAGGCAAATAGTATGATTAAGTCACTTGAGTTGATTTAAATTATTTTAGAGGCCTGGTTCATGACCTCTAATGCCATGGACAATACCACATTTCTTGCTTGGGATCTTATAATACTGTTTTTTAATGGAGGATTAGCGTGTCCATGCATCACCTCAGAAGACTAATGTGGACTGTGCTACCTGTTCAGACAAACTCCAGATGGGAAGGCCACCCAGGAGGCATCTTGCCCCTGAACCAGTCAAAATCCTAACTGGTTTCTCAGCAGCACAGCAAGCACACAGAAGACTTCAGGTCTGGTAGGCAGATGTAGCTGAAGCTGAAAGAAACTAGAAACAAGAAACTAGGTTGATCTGGTTTATGTAACAGGCAGAAAAACTGGGGAGCAGAGTATGGAGGAAGCTGCTTTGATCAAGTGGGCTGTGCCAGAAGCTCAGTAAGAACACTGATTTATTTGGGGATTGCTTGTACCACGAAAGAGAATAACTTCACTTTGGGATTATTTTTCCCAGCAAGAGGAGGCTGGGAGGAGCAGTGGGCAAGCCTTTACTCTGAGCCTGGAAATGCATCCCCCCATAGGGTGTGTCTGCCTCTGAGAGCGCTTGTTTTCAAGTACTGACTCCCAGCTGTAGCAGATGGCTGGAGGATGGCAGCAACCGACATGACTTTCTCTGTCATCCGTTTAGCTGAGATGTTGATAGTTGACTGTTAAGTTTTGTACATGTGATAGTTGTGCTATCTATGTAGACTGCCTCAGCTTCAGGTTTTAAGTGGACTTGTGGGATAATGTCCCATGACAAAGTGCAGGGGCCTGCTATGAACAGGCTGCTTCAGAATGCTGAGGTCTCACACAAAGATTTCCATGGTTTGCTAATTATCTTCAGAGCAGAGTAACTATGTTTTTGCCTATGTGGCTGTAAATGGCCTTTAAGAGATGACTTATGTGAAGTGACTGTAGTTTTGCTGTTGGGAGTTGTTCGGTCTGCACTTGAGTTGCTGAAGATGTCACCCAAAAGTGTCCTCAGCAAGGTTTATTCATCGTGTGCCAATTTCTTCTTGGTTGAAAAGGGGTTACTTTAGCCACAACCTCTGAAAACTCAGTCTTTGTAATCTTTATGCTTTGAAGGAGGGTGGCATGGTTGAGTGGACTTTCTGAAATTTACTGCTTTGCAATTGCTCTGGTTATTTCCCATGTCTATGTGCATGCCTGTGGAAATTCTCCTGTTCTTCGGACATATATAAATATAGATGTTTATGGACACCTAGTTATATATAGTTCATTATATTCAAAACAAACAACCCCCCAAACCCCAGTGTCATAGTAAAGATAATAGAAAAGCCAGTCCAACAAAGCTCGGTGCACTTGCCTGTTGTTTATCTCTTGGAAGAAAACAGTGATTCGTGCCCTGAAAGTGGTAGGTTCTTTCTCTCCCCCAAGACAAACTCCAAGGCAAATGCCCCTTCATTTCTGTAGTTGCTGTGGTTTGCAGCCAGAACTTCAATCTCCATTATCAAGCTTTTTGGCAACGTGAGGTGGCAATCAGTCATTCCGATGTGATGTGGACAGATAACTGAGACATAAGTGGAAACTGCTGATGGAGCTGACTAATGCTCTGGAGGGGAGTAAATTGTTAGCAGGATTGACTTGGGAGCTCTTACAGGGCTGGTGTGGAAGATCAGGGCTATCGTACGCACCGTCGGTGTTGGGGTGTGAAAGGCAGCCTGCAGATAAAGAGCACAACTTTTTATTGTAAAACTTTGGTGCCGTCCAAGTGAAGCCTCGTACCTGTTCAGCCGACGCTGCCCTGTGATGACTGGGCTTTGTTGCCATGCAACTTGGGAAGAGAGGCTGAAACTTCGTGTGCCTGGCACGAATTAGTTAGCTAACTAAATTCTTGTCTGAGGCTCTGTGTAAGAGGTTTAGAGATCCCTGCCATGAGGAAAGAAACAAATGCAAGGCAGCTTGCTCTCAGATTATTTTTTATAATTAGCTTCATTATGCAGTTATGACAGAACCTAGGAGTTGTATGAATCAACAGTAGAAAAGGCAAGGAGTCAGGAGGTCTGTTAATCTTCTATCATCTGCCAGCTGTCCAGTGAAAACACTCTTTTGTGTGGTGCTAGGAGGTCTGGATTAGTCATTTAACACCTGCAGGCAAAAATGTTGTACAAGAACATGTGAAAATCATTAGGGCAAAACTGTCCTGACGTCTGTGATTGGAAAATGCAGACAGCATAAGAATGGAATTAGATGGATTCAACTGTAGCTTGCACATCTTTTTAAGAATGCAGCTGACACAACTCAGACCAACAATTAAGCAAGTAGCAAATACTTAAGGGGTATTTGCATGCTCTGAGTTTGGATCCAAATTATGTAGGAAGACCAGGTTTCTGGGAGGATTAAGCATTCATGGTATGGAGTGAATTAGAATAGAATAATAGCTCTGTCATGAATAGATTTATATATTAACTAGGCATGTTTGTGATTAAAAACCATTGAAGTTCTTTGGCAATTTAAAAGTGATCCTGTATCGTACACTGACAGCCTAGAAGCTGAAATAAATCATAACTATACATACTGTTTTACAACTTCATTCAGTTTTTAGCATCTATGGTGCTCTGCATAATACTTAATTAAAAAAGGAAAATGTTGAGTCAGCTTCAGAAAACAGATATGACAAAGGTAGGTATCCTTGCTGAGGTGATCTTCTAGTGAATGCCTTCAATTTATTGCTTAGAACTTAATTTTTTAAAGGTGTTAAATCTGACTTCAGTTTTTAAACAGAAACAAACTGTTATAATCAAAGCATAAAAATTGGAGACTAAAATCAAAGTTTCATATTGAGACTTGCTTTTGGTTTTTTTATTTTGATACTCTTAAAATAAGGAATTTATAATAGAAATGTATATTTTGTCTTTTTCGTTAGAGCAATGCTTATGAATACTAATAAGATGGAAAGTGATTGAGACTAGTAGGTGTTTACTGTATTTTGTATGTAAGAAGTAACATCGGCAAAAGTTCTTCCTCCAGTATTTAATTTAATGTCCAAGATGATAAATTAGTTGGATAAAACTAACCATATCTAAATTCTAAAATATACTGTCAGTAGTTAGAACTGATAATCAGCACTGGTCTTAACACAGATGTGCTGAATGCCATAATTAAACACTTTGCATTCCTTTTGCTGTCTTAAAAAAAAAGTTATTTCCATTTTAGGGTCAAATTATCTCTTTCTGATAACTAGTCTCTTGCAGAAAAATAAACATGTCTGAGATCAATTGATCCTTTAAGCTTAGGATTTCTGGAGATACAGTCCTTGCTATCTGAATTCACAAATAAGCTGTAGATCTTCTGTTGGCATTTTGACAAACTCAGAAGTTCAAAACCTGTGATCTTCTAAATTCTCTATTATCGACTGAGGTAGAGGTTTTGAACAACGTATCACTAATGTAGTATGTTCATGGTGTGTTTTTTTTATTTTCCTTGGGTTTTTGTTGTTTGGTTCTTTTTTTACTTTGTAGACCACTAAAGCGTTCCTTCCCAAGATGCTGGAAATGAATCATGGACACATTGTGACAGTTGCAAGTTCCTTGGGATTGTTCAGTACTGCTGGAGTGGAGGTTTGTTTGACTCTAATTAACAATAAATTTCACACTTCTTGCTTAGGATAAGCTTTTTTATATTATCAGAGAAAATAAGGTGAAATCTTCAAAGATACTTGTAAGGTATGCTGCTGAGTACCATATCAACACGTGGCTCCTTGCAAGTGGGATCTACAGGACTTGGGCAGCCACCGTACTCACCTATTTTGCAGGTGGACTTGCCACTTAAAGTGAAAGCCTCGGACAGCTAAAGATTTCAGAATGCAAAATGAACTTTCAATTACCTGATAAAATTAGGAACCTGAAAGGTGCCTACCTGCCCACTTCTGTCAAGATTTTCAATGCTGTACTTGAAGCCAAAGGAAGGATTTTCAAAACTTATGTTTTCTGTTTCTGTAAGGAAATGGCTGCCAGCCTTCCTTCCAGAATATACGTCTCACCTGCTTTACTAGGCTCCCTGTTATAAGCCTTAGGATGTCTAGTTGCTTGCAGCCTGTTGTGAACATCAGTTTGTGAGGCGTGTTTGGTACATAAAACTAGGTTAGGATTAGTGCTTATTATGTTGGGTTTGGGGTCATTAGCACAAATGCAAAAATGAACAAAAAGCATTCAGTTAGTGAGAATGAATTAATGTGTCTGATGGAATAATGGTCATACTACCCCATAAGCACAGGCTTCTTTGCATATAGGTAAGGCTCAGTCCAGGACCTTAAACTGCAGTGTTCTGTAACAGAAATGAATGACGCTGATGTAACTTAAGGCTCTTTAGAATATTTACTGTCTCCAGAAAACTACAAAAAAATTTCCTAGACCGTGGGTGTGACTACCAGCAGAGGTGGGACACTTCCAAAGGAAAACTCAAATGCTATTCTGTCTATGCAATTATTTTTTAATGTTGCTGAACTTAGTATTTTTGTGAGATATACCAGCTATATTTTCTTCTGAAAAGAAATACACTCACATCTCCATCATATCTTCCGTTGAAACTAACCTGAAAGCATTTAGGATTTTTACACCTATGCCCTGCCAACTCTCCAGGCTTTTTCAAATCTGACCCAAGGTAGTATTAGGTATCCCAGTCCTTTGTTGTAGCATTTAATATTAAGTAAACTGGTAATCGGAGTAACTTGTCATGTGAGCCTCTCTGATTAAAAGACTTGAATCCAAGGTAATATCCTCCTACATTCAGCTTTTCTGCTCTTATAATTCTGTGCTAATTGCCTTAAGAGTAAAGTGGTAAATGAGTTGATTGCAGTGGGTGTCTTTTGTTGTTGCTTTGGAAATCTGTGCAGAATCACCTCAGATATGCTCTGGCTTTGAACATGATTCATATCTGTCCTTTTTAAGTTGCCTCTTTTTTTGGTCTCGTTCATTGCCAACACAGGATTATTGTGCCAGCAAATTTGGAGCTGTAGGTTTCCACGAGTCTTTGAGCCATGAATTGAAGGCTGCTGAAAAGGACGGTATCAAAACAACTTTAGTTTGCCCTTATCTTGTAGATACAGGAATGTTCAGAGGGTGCAGGATCAGGTAAGTAAAATTCTACTTCTGCCTTACGTTTTAAATGTCATAAAAGTACTTGAAGATAACTAAACTGTTACAATATTGAAACAAGTATTATTTCTGCTTTAATATATGTTAGTTTTAGACTTGAAAAATAAACTTTCTGAATTCATTGAGTATTTTATGTCCTTTTGTACTCGGGCAACACAAGTTTTGAGCTGTAGTTTTTGTAATTGAACAGTGAGGGTGTATATATATATATATATATAAAAGGAAGTCTTTGTCCTTGCTGAGGCATTCCAAAGAAAGTGAGTTAATGAACTCTTCACTGAGATCTGCAGTCCTTTATGTATCTTATTAATCTGTCTTAATCAAATGTTTCAGAAAAGAAATTGAGCCTTTCCTTCCACCCTTGAAACCAGAATACTGTGTGAAGCAGGCTATGAGAGCTATCCTTACAGACCAGCCAATGATCTGCACACCTCGCCTCATGTATATGGTTACCTTCATGAAAAGGTAAGATCTGAAATGCCAGTTCATTGGCAATACAATCTACAGAATACTAGTAAAATACATGAGCATGTCCACTTTCTGGATATAAACACACTCCCACCCACACGGACCATAGGTGCTGTTTTGCTAGAATTCATGTCTTTTTCTTGGCTTGCATGAGTGTAGGTTACTTGCTTGTGAAGCTCCATAAAACTGAGATCCTATGTATTATGCATCCTTGTTTTATCCTTCTGGTATCTTTCACCCTCCTTAGATTCCTGCTTTCTTTTCAATTTCCATTGTTTGGATTCCTCCTTAGGAATGGGGCATGAGGCAGCTTCCAGCAAAGGAACCTCTAGCTATTTGTCTCTAGAGCCCGTGTGTAGGAGGCCCTACTTGCAGATTCTCTAAGACTTGTACAGATAATGGTAGATAAACTCAAAATCTACACATTCAAAACCAATTTTTAGAGTCTAAATTTGGAGGAAGGGCCATTTAAAGGAATTAGCTCCTTTATCCTGCCTAAAACACTACAGTTTTTGGATGGGAACTCTGTTTAATTTGTAACCAGGCTGACGTTTCAATGAATGCAGGGTAATACAGGAGTTGGCTCAGTTCCACTGATGCAACATCACTTGCATTGTAGTCTGTACAGAACAGCTTCACAGCTGTCTGTGGGGGTTTTTAAATCTGAAGTGTGTAGGAGGAACTTTTAAAATACAGCGTTGTCTTATTTTCCTTCTGCAAAGGATAGTTGAACCTTGTTGATTTTTATTCCACTTGCAAGGCAGTGGTTCTCCCCTGCCTCAAGTCTTTCATGTTGGACACGCTCACCAAAGACTAGAGGAGCCTTCATTGCTCACCTCTTTCCTGGAAAAGAGTATGTATGTGTCTCTTTTGCCAACAAATCAAGGCCACTGTCAGCATCCTTGAGAACTAGATTCTTCAACCAGAAGCTCAGAGTGCTTCAGTGCTCTCTGCCCAAGCGATGCCTGATACAGCAGCAGTCACATGAAAGGCCCTTTGGGTTGTCTTGTGTTCAACAGTTTAGCTTCCAACAGGGAGATCAAAGCTTCTGTATAATCCATGTCCCAGGCAGCAGCACTTAGATCAAAGGCTCTCCACTGGCTACTGCACGAGCAGTACTACTGGCAGCGG